TCAACGAAAAAAAAAAAACATAATTACAAATACCACTCAAGGAATTGCTTATTAGTTTGATTTTTTTTTCTATATTTTTTTTTTTTTACTATTTTTCTTTTTTTTTTTTTTTTTAGAAGAAGAAGAACCAAGCCCCACAGCATCGTATCGGCAAGTACATTTATGTGTGTGTAATATACATATCTACAGGTCTATAATTAAAAATTTTCTTCTTTAAACTTGTGAAAAAATTGATCTACAAATATATCATCAACGTACAACTATGTATGTAATTATGTACATCACTGAAATGATTTAATGAAATCATTTTTAAGCACAAAAATTTCCCACAAGTACACTTTTTTTTTTTTTTTTATAATTGTATATATAAAGTGTTTTTTTTTATTTACGATTATTTTTTTCTTTTATCATCCGACTTTTTCTCTTTTCATCTCTATATTTCGTCGTTGTTGGTACAATTTTTAATACTCCTTTTCTTTTCTTATTTTTTTTTTTCTTAACTTCTTCGTTCGTTATCACACTTTAACGCTTTTTCATCTACGAACATCGATCACATTTTATTATATAATCTTTATCGTACAAAGAGACAAATCGATCATATTTTGACAATATTTAGGCGTGTCATTAAATTGAAAGAAAAATTATTGATAATACAGAGATCTAATAATTTAAATGAAAATTATAAAATAATATAATCTAAACGCGTATTTTAAATTGCTATTAAATCGTATGTGTATTGGATAAGATTTATAAAGAAAATGATAAAAACGTTAAGAAATCTCACCATTACTTTGTTCGAATAAATTAGTTTAAAAATTGTCTTCAAGATATATATCTTATGCACGCACATAGGTTTTATTGCACAATTAATTATGAACAATCATCTAGTTCTTGAAAATAAATTACACTGTGGTAACCGATAGTAATCCCATTAATTTACCACCAGTACCTGGTCCACTTGCACCGACTCTGTTTCCATGTACCAACATTTCTTGTACCGTGGTGAAATCATCTAAAGTTGTTTTTTTGCGTGCCATCTTTTTGTGACTCAATTCAACGATGTTCAGTGGCTTCTTAGTTACCTTATCATCGTTATAATCGCATATCAATAAATCATTATTGTGTTGCAATTGTAATTGTTGTTGCTGTTGTTGTTGTTGTTGCAACATCAATTCTTGTTGTCGTTGTTTACGTTCTCTAGCTCTTTCAAGTTGTCTTTTGCGTTCTTCTTTTGTCCAATAACGACCAACCTTAAAATTAAGAAAATTTTCATTTTCATTTGTAATATTAATTTTTAATAAAATGAAAATTATTGTACAAGATATAGAGATGACATGTAAATTGACATTTACCTTCATTTCTGACATAGTTTCGTCCTCCGTCGTGTGTCCAGCACGTTCCTCCGAAATTTTAAGAGCTCTATTCCTAAGAATCCGATTTCTAACAGGACGTCTAGCGATGTATCTGGTACCGTCAGCTCTTCGTTTAACTTTCCATTCCATTTGGACTTCACATTTTTCCTCAGGTGGCATCCAAGCGGCCGAAGAACAAACTTGTTGGCTACCGACGAATTGATATTGGGTAAGATTCGGTGCTTGAAAGTTACCATGAGATTTTGATTTCCTAGCTCCACTAGTTTCCTTAGCAGTAAGATTCTTTCGATTGAGCGCTTGTTTGAATAATTGTTGCTGTAATAGCATAGTTTGTTGAAGATTCGCAACATTCGTGTACATAGTGTCAGCAGGTAAGGTACTTCCAGTTGAATCCGTACGATCCTTGTGATGAGACGATGAACTCTTTCTCGTAGTTTGACTTCTGCTACCTTGTTTACCACTGGGCGTCATCGACATGATCGGCATCGGACAATTACAACCCATTTTTGGTTGCTGTTGTTGCTGCTGTTGTTGCTGCTGCTGTTGCTGTTGTTGCTGTTGTTGATGCTGGCTAGTATTTTTTGGTGGACATAAAACTAGAGTACTTTTGTGATGATCTCTCTCACCCTGATGAAGTTCCAACGTTAAAGGATTACTATGGCACGATTCACCTGTATTGTAAGCACTCGAACTATCTTTTTCTTCGCCTGAGCTGTTACTCTTTGAGGATGAGTGCCAAAGTTTCGTTTGATTGCCATGATTCTGTAACTGCTGTGAGTTAGATCCATGATTCATCTGTAACTGCTGTTGCTGTTGCTGCTGCGTCGCCCAATGGTGTTCGTAAGGCGAAGAATAAATTGGTTCGCTGTCGGATTCTGGTATCGTTTCGTAAATGTGTTCGGTTTCGCTCCAAACGTGACTCGAATAAGCTTCCACAAGTTTTATTGTCGTTTGCGAAGGTACCACTTGCTGACCACGCAACGATAAATTATCGATTTTCTTCGAACAATCCTTTATCGCATCTTGCATCCATTGTTTTCTATCTTCCGTGTGATGAGCAGGTGACGTTGCATTCTTACCTGATTTTTGTGAATTTTGCGATGAACATGTCGAAGATGTGGTCGTTGAAAAAATTGAACTCTGTTGTTGTTGTTGTGGAGTAGGTAATTGTTGCTGTTGCTGCTGTTGCTGCGGTGATTGAGGTTGTTGCAATTGCTGTTGTTGCATGTGTGATGGAATTGGAGGTGGTGCTTTTAATGTCGAAGTATTTCCTCCTTCCGTTTCTTTGGTATGTTCTTCCGTTTGTTGTTGCTGTTGTTGTTGTTGCTGTTGTCGTATAAGTTGTTCGATCATACTATTTTGATAAGCTGGTAAGTTTTCTGGAGACAATGGTGGTGAACCCTGTAAAAAAGAACATAGAAACCAACATTGATTTAATTTTTAAAAAAATTCTAATATTATTAGTAAAAATAATGCATCAATTTTATATAATAAAATACCTGTTGATAAATACGTCTGTCATCGTACTCGTCATCCTGTAATACAATAAGTAATTAATTAATAAATATCAAGATATCCAATACAAATGTAAGTAATTTAAATAAAAAGGATTATTATAATTATATGTACAAGATTATGTTTTATTTTTAAACTGACCTGATAAAGACATCGACTGACTAGTATAGTCACTGCATTCTTGGTCTCGGCAAATAAATTTTCCGTTTGTTCTTTGTTAGCTACATCTTTTCCATTTACCTGAGATAAAAGTTATTAAAAATAAATAAACATAATTATAATATAAATCCCATGAATAATAGGATCATAGATAACGGATTTGTTAAATTTCGTGTAATTGTAGATGAAGATGTACTTTACCCGTAAGATTTGGTCACCTTCCCGTAACCGACCGTCACGGGCTGCTAAGCTTTCAGGAACTATTTCTGAAATATAAACCTCCGTGTCGGCGTCTTCGCTACCGGAACCAGAACTATAGCAAACCGTTAGACCAAGCTTTTCTGCACTTCCGCTTTTACGTAACGTCACTTCCTGAGAATTTATAAAAATAATATTTTATGTTAGATAGATATATATATATATATATATATATATATATATATATATA